TCCGTCCAGTGCAGATTGAGTGGGATACCATTCAGAGAATTTATGTCTATAGTGATGATATTCATTCTGATAGTAATCTGTTGCTAGGCCTCGTATTTGTGCAGTTTTTGAATGCTTTTAATGGCTCAGTTAACTTTAGCAGATGGTATATGCTCTGCTTGATTTATATACCCTCTATTGCGTTGGTGTACTGATCCGGAGACAGGGACTAGCTCTATCGGTTAGTCTCAGCTGAGAAAGTTCCACCTGGAGACGGAGACAGGGACTAGCTCTATCGGTTAGCCTCAGCTGAGGAAGTTCCACCTGGAGACGGAGACAGGGACTAGCTCTATCGGTTAGCCTCAGCTGAGGAATTTCCACTTGGAGACGGAGACAGGGACTAGCTCTATCCTTTAGCCGCAGCTGAGGAATTTCCACTTGGAGACGGAGACAGGGACTAGCTCTATCCTTTAGCCGCAGCTGAGGAATTTCCACTTGGAGACGGAGACACAAGCCAGTCTCCGAAACATTGTGTTTTAAATAAAAATAGGACGATGGACAACGTCGAGAAACACAACAGTTGCACGAGTGTACCAGAGTCATACACTTTCAGATCTTATTGATCTTTTGAAGTGTGGCGTGATCAGAAAGACTTCGCTTAGGTAACAACAACACACTTAGCACTGAATTCTCTGACGATCCGATTGCCTAGATGGTCCACAAGCCCCACATTCACATCAAACGTTTAAGCAAACTGCAATGAATATCAAGTGCGTATTCTGAGGTCATTGGGACATGTACGCAGTGTTGAAATATTAAACTGAAGTTTACGCAGCCACTAAAACCATAACACAGAAATGTTCCGTGTCTGGTTGTAGTTCTGTGTTGTAGCTTATAAACCTGTATGCAGCATTGAAATATTATAACACAAGATTATGGCAGCCACTGAAACCATAACACAGAAATGTTTCACATTCTGATTGTGACAGTATTTTGAACTCTGAATCTTAAGTCGGAGAGGAGCCGGAACAGGACTGAAACGGTTATTCTCACCAGTAATTGTCATAAAACGCAGATAATTTGTTCAGTATTTAATACTAGCCACAAGATGTTTAAAACATGTTTGAAAGAAACTCATTTCGTAGTATGTAACTGATAAGGTCACGCCATAGCTCAAGCGGTTAGTCGCTGGCTTCCCACCGCGGCGGCCCGGGTTCGGTCCCGGGTCTCGTCAAGTGGGATTTGTGGTGGACAAAGTAGCGCTGGGGCAGGTTTTCTCCGAGTACTTCTGTTTCCCCTGCCAATCTTCATTCCACCAATTGCTCCACAATCACCCTCACCTATCATCTGGGGCTGGCTGGGGCTCGTTCGAGAAAGTAACATTTAGTCTCCTTATCTGAGTATGACGAATGGTCAACTTTCTAAGAAAAGGAGTTCCTTTCATTGCAATACTCTGGAAAACATAGAAACAGTTACAGCATGAGGTTTTGGTGGATCCGGTGTTGACCTTAGAGCAATGCCGTGTTAATGGCTCGAATGTGTGAAACTTTTTTTCTTTTCTGTTGGGTGGAAAGAAGAAAGTAATATAAGCGAAAGATTGTCGATATTTCTTAATTCTTAAAAAAAATCGGAAGAGTCGAAATAGCTCAGTTGATGTAGCAACTAGGCTGAACAACCGAGGAAATGTGGTTCGATTTCCGGTAAGAAAATTTCATCTTCTCCTCTGGGTTGAGACCGACACGAGGGTGAACTGAGCTTCATATTCAGAGGGTACCAGGCGCCTTTTCCGTGGGTACAAAGCGGACATAGCACAAATATGCCCTCTGCCCTGAATCTAGTGCCGAGGTTAAGAATTCGAGGCGCTATACCTCCACTCCTCCGAAAAAGTTTATTGAGTGGTGTTTAAAAGCTTTGGTTGTAATATGGGCGAGTTATGTTTGTCATTCTAAGGCCATAGGCTTCACGACTCCTCTTGCAGTTTGTATTTCCGTGGCACGAGTACACGGTAGGACCGTTAGACTCTTCCGATTAAGAGAGTCAGCCATTTGCAGCAAGCTATAGGATGGTTGCACTGTAATATTTATATTATCTGTGTTCGTTCGCATCTTGGGACACTGGAATTGGCGAATTTTAAGTTAACTGTAATGTCGAGGAATTAGAATTTCGGGTATTCAGACCTCTTAAAAAAAGTAAAAAGTTAAAGCTATCCCTGTAACAGGCCGTGAAGGCCTATAGGGTTGTGAGACGTTGAGGGTCCCACATTATCTAGACAATCGGTTCAAAGATGGCGGTAAGGTTGTCAGCCTTACGCGCCGGCCGCGCTCCTAACTCAATGGAATTAATATTTTCAGAATTCAATTTCCTAACTTCTGACTTCCATCTTGATCACTGCTGTGTCTGCAGGATTTTGACGGGACTAATCTGGATAACTCTACACTGTATTCTAAACTTTTCGTTAAGAGTCTTTCTTTATTTATTCTAACCACGACGTTAGTAAAGTATAAACAAATCATGAAGTTACTCATTGTGTAATCTCTAATTCTAATTCCTGTTTCATGTGGTGGTGTGAGACATTGTCCTCTTGGAACTTCGGACACTGTTTGGCCTATTGCACCAGCCCCGGATTATAGATGAGTGTGGAGCAGTGGTTGGAATGAGAATTGGCTGGGGAAACTGAAGTACTGGGAGAAACCCTGCGCCAGTTCCACTTTGTCCACCACAAATCCCACATGACCTGACCTTGACTCGAACCAGGGCCGCCGCTCTGGAAAGCTTGTGTTTCTTCCTTCACCCCAGATGTAATAAGTCTCTGTTGGATCCAAAATATTTATTAGGAAGGATCAGATGGGCATGGCATCAGTACGAATGGGTAGAAAAATAATGCATATTGGATATGGGTGGGAAAGACGGAAGGGAAGAGACCACTAGGAAGACGAAGACGTAAGTGGGTAGATAATATTAAAATGGATCTTAGGGAGCTAGAATTGGGTGGTATGGACTAGATTGATCTGACTCAGGACAGGGACAAGAGGAGTGCTCTTGTGAACACGACAATGAACTTTAGGGCTCCCATGGAAGTTCCTTAGTAGCTGCACGTCTGACGGCTTCTCAAGAAGGGCTCAGCTCGGTGTAGTTACCATAGTTACCTATATAGTGACTAGGCTACAGGATGGACGACCGAGGAATCGGGGTTACTTTCGAAGGAGAGGTAAGATCTTGGGCTCAATGCGCTTCTATCCCTAGGTCCTTAGATGTCCCTTCTCCGGGAGAAAAGTAAGTAGGGGATGAGCTGACCTCCTCACTTTCATCTAAGGCGCGTCCACATTACTCGTGCCCGTGCTCGTGCTCGCCGGGCTTGTGCTCGTCGGGAGACTCGTCTGGCTTTTATTGTGCCCGTAAATCTTCGTCCACACTACTTCAGTTGCTCGCCAGGCTTCGGCGCGTGAGGATCCGTATATTTACTCGTAGTGTGTATAGGCTGAAGTCGTATTTTAATTTATTGGCTATAGTTTTTACATTAAAATTTAAAATTTGCTTGTATCGTGACTTGTCATATCGTCCACAATACTCGCGAGCATACCGAGTCACACGAGCACGAGTAAGGTGGACGCGCCTTAAGGCTCAAAACAAGAATATGTGTAGTTATGCCCCACTCTCCATACACCTCCATGGCATGATTCTTATTAAAGCACAAGGAGGACACTGCCTTATCGATCGCAATGGGCGCGCCGACTTAAGGCATGAAAATTCTTCTCCCGCTAGTGAGTTCGAATCTCATTCGAGGCATGGATGTCTGCATTTATTCTGTGTCTGTGTTGTCCTGTGAATAGAGGCTTTCCGACGGGCTGATTTCCCATCTAAAAAGTCCTACCGACTACGTGTAGGATTAAGAAACCGAAGAGCACTCAAGGCCCAGCAAAGGGCTGTACATATATAGATAGACAGATAGATAAGGCCGCGCCATAGCTCAAGCGGTTAGTCGCTGGCTTCCCACCGCGGCCCGGGTTCGATCCCTGGTCTGGTCAAGCGGGATTTTTGGTGGACAAAGTGGCGCTGGGGCGGGTTTTCTTCGAGTACTTCGGTTTCCCCTGTCAATCTTCATTCCACCAAATTCTCCATCATCATAATCACTCGGTGTAGGCTACAATAGGCCAATCAGTGCACGCCGTGCCGAGTGGACGCAGTTGGAATCCACCCCCCACTAAGTAAATAAAAAAATACCTTCTAACGTTCAAAGCATTTAATTCATTATAGAACAGCTCTCGTTTTCCAAGCTATTTTTTGGGAGGTTGGAATTTTTTCTTGGAATGCAGATTATCCGAAATGAGATATTCCGTAATTTTCAGCAGTCCCTTGGCGGAGAGTATCGGTAAGAAACTTGAAATCGGTCACGACCGCTTCCTCCCTATTCCTATCGATTTCACGGAACGCAGACGTGTTCTCATACTATGCGCGGATGGATAACTGCTGCAGTTGATACTGCGCAGGCATTGAATGACTTGCGATGTGTCCAGATACAAATTTACGTCATTCTCGAGCATCTTGGACAAGCGGTATCTTGCGGGTCGAACATTAGCCAGTATATGCACAAGCTTAAATGAGGATTTTAGTTAATTTCCTCAGCCACTCCAAGCGAATATCAACAGTAGCAAGTAAAACTCATGATCACTTTTAGTAATAACATTCTAGATTCATATTGGGTGTGGCGGATCACAGGCTATAGTGACAGAGGTTTGTTGCCAAATTATTCAGTACATACAGGCAAATGCCGTGAGGGCATCTCACAACGAACGCCTTCCAAATCCTTATCAGTTCGTCACTCATTCATCATCCTAAACTTCTGTGCTATATGTTGCTTAGTTAATGATAGTTGTCGCAGAATAAACCACAAAGAAATGAAAATCACTTTATTCAGTACCCGTTCCTGTTACCCAGTATAGTCCAGAGCCCATCGAATACACAGACAGACCTCGTGTGCAATGGCAACCTACACGGACTCTACTCGCGTCAAATGCACTTACCTTGTAAGTCCCTCAGTCAGAACTCGGAAACTGAAATGCTGAAATTTCACGTCTTATGTCCTCGACTGATTCAGTTTGTCTCTTCTTGCTGGTGTAAACAAATAAGTATTGTGCCCCTCAATCGCTGCAGTTCACGTAGAAAGTTTATCATTCTTACACATTATTGCTTCCCCTCCAACCCCATAACAGGTCACGGAAGTTGTTCCGAAAAAATATACACACTTCTGTATATACTGGAGAAAGTAAACAAATTTTCCTTTGACCCCAAGGTTTGTCATTACATAACAATGAGTCCTATAACTCGCCTGAGGGTCGTCAATTTCTCATGTCTACCCTAAACAGAACAAAAGAAAAGGGAAAGTTACCTAACTGGGAACAACTAGTAAAATGCATGTGTGTATGTATGTATGTACAGATATGTACAGGAAGCCGAGATTGCTCACTCGACATAGTGAATGGATACGAACCGGACGGACGGGGTTCTATCCTCAGCAGTGGTAAGAGATTTCTCAGTGCTTAGTGTGTCCAGACCGGTACTGGATCCAACACAGCTTCCTATCTAATGGGTATCGGGGATTCTCCCCACTTCGGTAAAAAGGCCGAAGCGTGAAGCTGACCACTCATCTCTATCTAGTTCCGAGGTTATGAATGGTTGAGCTATACCTCCACTCCCCCATGTCTCTTTATAGTGTGATATAAATAACAATAAAAATGGACGCCGTTTGAAAGACACGAGAAATAAACATTGCCTTTCAGTACTTTCATTTCCTTAGCAGCAGAGTTACGTGTTATATAGGCATTAATAACTGCTTAACCTTCAATGACATAACGGCACTTACCCTTCAAGTTATGCAATTCTCATACACGCCTACGAGAAGTATGCCAGGAATGCAAGCACATATACCTCGGGAATAAAAATATATATGAGGATGTAGTTTCCAGTTGTTTATTCACCAACTGAAACAGTTTTTAACACATAACTGGAAAACTTGTTAGGTGAAAGCAGACTCTACATAATCACCCTGACAGATGCAGTGTAGCAAGAATCTGCAATATTTGCAAAATGCTGCAGTGATCCGTGCTTTGAGTTCACCCTGCGTATTCAGTCTTTGGCTGTGCACACGGTATTTCACATAAAGGTAAAACTGTCCCTGTGCTTCACTAATTAAGCGCTACCCCATGAAGGTGTATGGGCGAGTGGCACTAACAGGAGATAAGTGGTCAGCTTCACGCCTCGGCCATTTTACCCCCGGGGAAAGATCCTCCGGTATCCATTAGATAAGAAATTGGGTGGACCCCAGAGCCGATCTGGACGACGTGGAGAAAAGAAAATTCTTGACCCTACCGGGACTCGAACTCCGACCCCTCAGTTGTCCATCCCGTAGCCAGTAACTATATTGACTACGCTATCCCGGCTCAATTGACGTTTCGAAGGAGTATATCTTCTTCATCTTCAGGGTTGAAAAGTAACCCAAGCAAGAAGTCAGCTTGAAGCAGGTAGCAAGCAGTGGTCTGCTTATTCTTTGATCCTGAAGATGGAGACGACATATTCCTATGAAATGTCAGTAGACTTTCAGCGGACTACACAGAATTACATCCTAGAAGACAGATTTTTTCCGCCATGTCTGATTTCCTTCCTGATTCCCAGGCATTTGAAATCCAGGCACTGATTCAGGCAGACCTTCTGTTGTCACGTTTCGATTCTTTCAGCAGAGCCCAGAAATTTCCAAGCTGTTAAAATTCTATATATCTGGACTTGTTTAACTATAATGTTTCCTAATTTGATTTAATAACGGATAGTGGTGACTGTGACAGACTGAGGGCACAGTCTCTGTGTGTCAGTGTACCGTAAAGTGCAGAGATTAGCGGTAGTGCTCTAATTGCCCGTGGCTCTCAGTGGTGTATGTAAGCTGTCAATATATCCAATCATTCCATCCCTAACCAGTCCAATAGTCACGACCCTTCACGTGACAATATCTATATCTGTCTTCTGAGCAATGTTAGTGTTTGAAGTTCTGGAATTCTGGAGAGTTTTAGTACATTTTGGGCACTTAATATTTCGCGTCAGAATTTAAATATCTTCTCTGGAGGAAGAAATAAACTATTTCATGGGAAATGAAGACGGGTGGCTGAAAGGTGAAGTTAAGTGAACCTCGTAGGGTCTGTTTTCTGCAGACACTGGTGTGAGTTTATTGGCGTTTGAATCATTGACGCCTGCGCCTTTGCACGTGCTCATTGCACGTGCCGCAGTTATGAAATGTGTACGAGGCAGAGCCCTGACACAGAATAAAAGCGATCCATGATGTATTTACTACGTCTAAACTATCCCTTCGAAATTCAAAGGCAAAATCTCTGTAACATAGATTTAAGCAATTATTTTTTGTCTTAATTTGTTATAAAGTCGAGATACTGTAGTCGTCGACATAAGAACAAAGTAAATTAAATTATAATAAAATATATTATAATCAATAAATCATCAATTTCATGTGTCTTATTCAACAACAGCATATTTTATTCGAATGTACCAAGCGACATGTAGTGTCTGAGACAAAACTGATTGAAATACAGACGTTTTTATTGATTTTATTAAAATGTAATTTAATCCGTCGTGGTTGTTGTGTTGCCGTTGTTGCTGCTGTTGCTATTATTGTAGATTTGTTCTACTTTTTGATCTCAACGTATTTCAGAAGTCATAAACAATTTAAACTGTGCTAACGCACTGATAGTGAAGTAAACTGATATTACCAGGGGCGATTTAAAAGTTTTTAGGAACCTAGGACAGTGTTCAGCGGGGGGTCCCAGTGCACTGAGGGATGTGGCGGGCTGTGAGAGAGTGTTAGGCCCTCTAACATTTGTGAGTAAGAGAGCAAATGAAGATATAGTTCAGAAAACAAATTGTTTTCGTTGCACTGAAAGCCTTAGGGCCCTCCACCATCTCATGCTAAACAATTTGCCTATACGCCTCGCGCGGGGCGCGTAAGCCGCGAGCTTCTGTTCCATGGCTTACCTCCTCTATGCCTTTATCCGCCCTGAATATGAAGTCTGCACAGTACACACATTTTATAGCCTTGGGGCAAATGAGGCATGTGCGTTATGTCGAACCTTCGGAATGCAGGCCTACAGTTTGTGAAGACGTGGAATTCATGACAAAGCCACTGTGTTATCTGACGGCGTGATGTAGAGGAAATTTCTGGGCTGGCAGTGTCATGCGGGTCAGTCTACATGATCTCTGCAGGTTATATTGCAGTGGACAACGCGTATTGTGATTACCTCGGAACACAGCTTAATTGACAGAACTAACCGATGAAAGAAGAATGAATCTGTTCACCGTTATTTATGTCGAGCGGAGCAGCGCCATAGCTCAAGCGGTTAGTCGCTGGCTTCCCACCGCGGCGGCTCGGATTCGATCCCGGTTCTGGTCAAGTGGGATTTGTGGTGGACAAAGTGGCGTTGGGGCAGGTTTTCTCCGAGTACTTCGGTTTCCCCTGCCAATCTTCATTCCACCAATTGCTCCACAATCACCCTCACCTATCATCTGGGGCTGGTACAATAGGCCAGAAGTGGCCGCAGTACAAGGGACTTAGTCCCACCCCACTAGCAATAAAAGAAAATATATATAAAAGCTGATACAAGGAAACCACTCAGCAACGCAAATTTGAGAAGACTGACATGCTCCATTGCCTGGAAGTTGAGTTTGCCGTTTCTTAAATTTGCGCTACTCCATTCAGTAACGTGTGTTCAACTCTGGCTGATAACAATTCTCCTAATTTTCGGTTGTGTTGCGGTTACCAGTTTCCTTGGTGTACCCTCGCTCTAAAAAAAATGAGGAACTCAGTCTCATGACCACTCTCCTTATACATTAACTGTCTAACCAAGCCTACTTCTGAACATACACACACGTCAGTTTTGAAGATGGAAGTAGTACGTTTCTCCGAAACATGTTTATTTACCTACAAAACTACACAGTATCACAGCTCAGAAGTCAACAAACTTGACAATCACCGCTGTGAAAACCTAAGCACTTATATATAAGAAATATAGGTCTAAAAGACGAAAGGAAATGACATCTGGATCTTAATGTACTCCTATTGGCTAAATTATTGTACCGATGTGTTCCCATTGTCATTTGTAATGTTCACTGTGGGAGAGCAAACTGAAGATGGATCAGACAAAGCTTCACAGTAACCTGCAATCATAATGAAAGGGTAGTTTATGTGTCTGAAAAAAATTTCAAGTAGCCCAACCGAATCACGACAGCTTAACACACATGCAGTAAACAGAAGCTGTTCTGCCATATTTAGTTAGTTATAGATACCAAAATAGACGACAAACACAATGGAAAATGGAAGAATTGGGATTAAATTAAAAATATTGTCAATAAGAAAATTCTTGAAGAAAGAAATCAAACAGAGAACGCAGGACGCAACAGCAGATAAACTTCCGTTTGTTCCATGTGTCACGTGCGGTGCCGCTGGATAGCGAGAATAAAAGGAAACTTGGTCTAGTTCATTCCTCTGCAGCAGAGCTCTGTGACTGGCTAGGTCACGCAGTGGGAAGAAGTGCCAGTTCATTATTAAGGCTCGTATATGCCTGTGTGTCCGCCGACCGCTGTTCAATTGACGGATTCCCCTCTGTTTGCAACGACGTTCTGCTTCACTCCGTCCTCATACTTTTCAGTTTCCCAGCACCAGAAGCATCAACTTGGCGGAGTGTGAACTTCTGAAGTGGGGGCGTCATTAGCGCCAGTCACTTTTTGTAGTAAAATGAAATAAGTAGCCTAATTTTATTGAAGTAATTAGCCATTGTGGAGGAAGTAAAAAAAAACACTCCGTGATTTTAGTCCGCAAGCGAAGTATACCGACCGAGCGACCGCCGCTTGTCGGCGAAGTTAGTGCCAACTTTTGCGGATAGAGGGTGTCGCGTGGTCAGCGCAACGAATTCCCACGGCCGTTAATTTCGGTTTTCTAGACCGGGGCCGCTATTTCCTTGAAATAGCTCCTCAATTATCATCACGAGGCTGAGTGAACCCCGTTCCAGACCCACTACTACTCTGAAAAAATATTGTAATACCGGGAATCCAACCCGGA